TTTTTGAGAAATAACAAAAAAAAAACTTTTTGGAGTAAGAAATTCGAGTAAGAAAAAATGGTTATAATAATATGTGGCACATGCGTTGAGTTACATGGCTGTGAGATACCGTCCGTAACGGGCCAACGCGCGGTCTGTATTTCAGAAGAATATTTGGGCTTTCAAAATTGGCGTGCGCGACCGACAGTCACCGTGGTCGTTGGATTTTAATTTTAAATAAGCAGATCAATGCTTTTAGCCGTCAACCCGAGTTCGAACCCAAGTCTTCGTCTGTCTTCATTCATCGCCATTAAAAAACCATACATTTTCAAACACACATGCGACGGTATTGATGACATCTACTCCTCACTTATTAATGACGTAATAAATAAAGCTTTGAGTTTTTGCCAATTTACCAACTTACACCTCCGCACAATTGTACAAATTGCTCTAGGTCCATCATATATACCTATATGTTTAGTTGGGTTAGTCAAAAATTTTCAATCTTAAATAATCATCGACTTATTTGGTATACGTAACGATTCTTAAAAAAAAAATGAGCTACAATTGAGTAAGTATCTTTTAAACGTCTATCTCAACAAATTATATATAAATCATCTCAAATATCATTTACAAATTGATACGAGGGAGTTTAAGAAGATGGTCATGAAATCTTGACCAAATTTTGCTACATCAAAATTATGACCTAAYTTTTATTTCCACACATTGTGATTGTTTTAGTTATATTCAAACTACTTCAAAATGTTTTGCATGCATTTTGATATGTCGTAATCATATGAAAGAATMGGTAGATCTTRTAACCCTTAATGTAATGTCTCCTATGTTAAAAATTAATTCACTAGCTATTTTATTAAATATAAAGAGATCTTTCATGATTTTGCTAGTGATTTGTAACATAAAACCTAGTAATGGCAAAAGTTAATTGCTTTTTCTTCAAAGTTTGTAGAACATGAATTTTGTCAATAACAAAATTTTATTTTCATATTTTAAAATATCAACCAAAGTTGTAAAACTTGCAAATAAAAAATAAAACAACAATAGAGTAAATCCCAAGAAAGAAGGCGCGAGAGTGGGAGTAGAGAAGGGTAGTTTTGACTTTTCGATCTCTGCTCTGCGTCAAATTGGCAAAACAGGAAACCACGTTCACCCGAAAAAAGAAAGAAAAATTTTAAGCACACAATTTTGCAAATTTTTCTTTTTTTTTTTCTCTGTAAAAAACCAACTGCTCAGTGCTCAGTGTTGTCGTCCTGCCCGAAAAGCGAAGAAGCCCCACTTTGGTCTTCGTCGCTAAGTTTCCCCTCTTCCACGCAGAAGAACGCAGAATCCATCACCCCACTCCCAGAAAATCCACCAAAATGCGTTTCTTCTTCTTCTTCTTCTGCCTCGTCGCCGCCTTAGCTTCCCTCTCGGCGGCCGGCTCCGCCTTCCCCGCCACCCATTTCCCTCTCCACAGAGCCTTCCCCCCCGTTCCCAGTCTCCACTTCGATTCGCTCAGAGCTCGCGACCGCGTCCGCCATGCCCGCTTCTTGCGAGGATTAGTCGGAGGTATCGTCAACTTCTCCGTTAAAGGCTCCTCCGATCCATTCGTCGGGTGCGTCCTCTTCTTTGTTGAGATACTCTGTTTTTTTTTTCCCTCTCTTAACTTACTGTCGAGTACTTACTTGTTTTCGTCTTTGCTAATTTTGTGCAATTGTTAATTCTTTTGATGCAATGTACTTCCCATGGTTGCTCCTTCCTTTTTTACTAGCAATTAGTTCGTTAGTTTACGTGGTTTGGATTTTCCTTACTTTCCAACGTTGCGCGAGGCTAAACTGAAGTTTTACCTATTTAATGGGTTTAGTCCTACACTTCTGCTAATCCTAACGAAACCATTTCGTAGATGTTCAGGCTGATTGTTTCTTTTCGTTTGGGAACTGTTGCTGTGTCAATTTAATTTATATACTAAAATTTTATAAATCAAGTTATCATTTTGTATCTCAATATTTCTGCAACTATTCAGTAAATGTTAGACGTCGAAAACTGTTCAAGGATGATAATTAATCTTTGTGGAGTGATTCTTCGGAAAACCCAGATTGTTTTTATCTTAAATTTTGTTTACCCTCTAACTCTTCCTACAAGTTCCATKTAAATGAATAGGTTTACTACAAAATTTGTGCCGTCCAGTATTTTTAATTGCTGGTGTTGATTTTCGTAGGCTTTATTTCACGAAAGTGAGGTTGGGGAATCCTCWGAGGGAATTCTATGTTCAGATCGATACTGGTAGCGACATTTTGTGGATCAATTGCAGTCCCTGCGATGGTTGTCCTCAATCAAGCGGACTTGGAGTAATGTTCCAATGATTTTGCTACTTTTCTTACTAATTAGTTTTTCAATTAAGCTTAAAGAGATATAATCTGGCGGCATCATGCCCCTCCTCTAATAAGGAGGCCTCAAAATTCAATTTCTATCCCCACCAATAGTGGATATCATAAACAAAACCTCGCAGGATGGAGATTTTCTGCTTACCCCTAATTGCTTCTGCTATTTTATCTTTACAGATCGAACTCAACTTATTTGATCCTGCAAGCTCATCCTCTGCTAGGCTTGTTCCCTGCTCAGATCCAATGTGTGCTGCATTTCCAACCACAACTCAATGTTTATCCCACAGTAACCCGTGCAGTTACACCTTTCATTATCGAGATAAAAGTGGGACATCGGGCTATTATGCTACTGATTCAATGTATTTTGACATGATTGTGGATCAGTCCATGATTTCAAATTCTTCAGCCAGTATTGTTTTTGGGTGGGTTGATAGATCTTATTTAAACACTGCACACCTATAAAGGATATTGGATTTGAACTACTCGAAAATACAAATGATGGAAGGATACTCAAGTATTTAAAGTAATTTACCAGTTATTTGGTAGGATATTTTGCAGAACGTTTTTAAAAATTGCTTTGTAGAGCTAGCTATGATTTGGGTGACTAGTGAAAGCTGAAGTCACTGTGTATTTATAGTTATTTTATTTTAAGCTTGTGATTTTCAATGGAAGAATGACATTGATAAATACTGAAGTGTAGGAGTGGTAGTTAGAGTTAAATATACTAGATTYATATTTATCTAATTGAAAGGAGAAGTGGATAATTATCTTACTATAATTATTTACTCTACTCGATCTGTTGTTTCCATGTATGTATATATTCATTTTTTGATTGGAAACTTGAAACTTACTTCCTTGTTTGGTTTGGTTGTCAATGCAGTTGTAGCACATATCAGTATGGGGATTTGACTCGGGCAACCAAAGCCCTTGATGGAATTTTTGGATTTGGTCAAGGGGAGTTATCTGTTATTTCACAATTATCTTCCCGAGGGATAACACCTAAAGTATTCTCCCATTGTTTGAAAGGAGGGGACAGTGGAGGGGGTATCTTGGTTCTTGGTGAGGTTCTGGAGCCCAGCATTGTTTATAGTCCACTTATACCATCTCAGTATGTTCTCTATCTTKTGAAAGATTTGGTTTTCAGCTCTACTTATTCTTTGTGATGTCCATGAAATTTTGGATCCTTATTTTTCTTTTCCCCTAATATTTCTCAGAAAAATCATAGATGACTTTTGTGACTTGAATAGGATCAATCTTTGACCAGATTCTCTAGAAACAAACTACTACTTACATTCATCACACATCACTTGTGTTAAGGCTTCAATTTTCAATTTTGAGGAAGTAGTGATCTGATATGTTGATAACTCATATAAGTGTCTACTTTGGTTCTTTAATTGAAGGCTTATGAAGAAAAGTTTAGTTTGGAGCCACTCTCAAGTCAAAATTAGAAGCCCCTTGTGACCACTGTCCTGAGAAATATGCCTTGATTTTTCTCATAATCAATATTTTAGGATCAATTATAAGTCTCTAGTATAGAACCATGTGACATTAAGAGGCAATATGATTGGGATCTTGCAGAGATGAAGTTACCCAACCATTATTTGGTGGTTGTAGGACTGGTATCATAAATCAAGAGGAGGATGCTTCTGCAGAAGAAAGAGTTCTGTTGAGTTTTCTACTAAATCGTAAAGATCTGAAAATATTTCTTCTTTCTAACTAATGGTGCCAAGGTGTCTGTTTATTTTGTTATTGACCTCCACAGTTTATGGCCATTCTTTTATCAGGGGATAGTTTCTATTTTTAGCATGAAAACTTGATAAAAGATTGGCAATGTCCTTGACCCACTTGCTGAGTATGTCATGCTTTCAATGTTTTTTCTTCATCTCTGGCAATAGTTCTTTCTTTTGCCGTTCTCTTTCTTCGTAATTGTTTTGTTTGATATATTTACAATTTGTTTCTCATGCATTCTTAATTTTCTAATTTTATGTTTACTTATTTGTTTCTCAATTGAAATACACAGGCCACACTACACCTTAAATTTACAGAGTATTGCTATCAGTGGGCAGCTATTGCCAAACCCCACATTATTTTCAACATCAAATGCAGGAGGAACTATTATTGACTCTGGAACAACTTTAGCATACCTTGTGGCAGAAGTTTACGATTGGATTGTCAGTGTGGTAAGTTTGTTCGTATTCCTATATGTGACTATTGAGAGTTAGATTTCATTTTTTTGGGGGAAGGGGGTGAAGTTCTGATTATATATCTCTATCTTCCATTCAGATCTCACTGTTGATTTTTCTCCCCATACCCTCTTAAAGTATTTATAAATACCAAACTATCATTTCATGTTCCGTGGAGAAAAAGCTTTGTTTTTTATTTTACAAGTTAGATCTGCTGAGGAAAAGCTTCATTCTCAAGTGTTGGTGGTCAATATAAATAATTTCATTTTGGTAAATATATGTAGCACATTGTCCACTTTCAGATTGCATCCATGTCCTCATTCATTAGTCATTGCTTGATTGCAGTGATTTTTTCTTTTGGTAAGAATCGCAATGAAATTTCACGATTATTATGAAATATAATCATTGAAGGGTGGTTCAACTGGATTGATATCAATTGGCGTTGACTCAACATGATCAACCATATACTATGGTTTGTCAAATAATTTTAAAACCTAACTAATTAATATTATTTTGTCGTAATAGTTTCATTTATTTTATAGCAGCTTTGGGCATACCTTGGTCTAGGCCATTGTTCTTTTTGTAGACCTTCTTATGTATTTAATTCATTTTRATTAACTCTGGTTTCTTATCCAAAAAAAGAAAAAAGAAAAGAAAAGAAAAATAACTTCAGTTTTCTCTCTATGGAGGAGAACATACAACAGAGTTGAAAGTGAGGAGGATGGAGAATGAGATAATCATTTGAGATACCTTTATATTCAATTTATAATTTCCTTCTGATTATTTTATTTTCATTTTCAGTGCTTAGGAGTTCTTGTTCTTAGTTCATCATTTATTTGTCTCTCTTTTTGAATTCACAAGCTGCATTGTGGTAGAAATTTTGATAATGCTTCCATTTAAATGTTACTGGTTCTGACTTCTGATTCTACTAAGTGCTTACTTGTAGATAACTTCTGCTGTTTCTCAATCAGCCACTCCTACAATTTCCAGGGGTAGTCAATGTTATCGAGTCTCTACAAGGTATTCTCTCTTGTATGACCTAAACAGATAAGTTTGGAAATTCTTATTAATTTTCAAAGGAAACTGTGCCTTTATTATTTTCTTATTTCAGGAACTAAATGAGTATGTGTTTCTATGTTTAGTATAGCGGAAATATTTCCTGTGGTCAGTCTAAACTTTGAGGGTGCTTCCATGGTGCTGAAACCTGAAGAATATCTTCAGTTTGACTCCATTGTAAGTTGCTCAATAATTTCCCCAGCACATTATATTAATTTTGGACATTTTCATTCATGCATCCTGAATGCCGAGAGATTTAGAKATTGAATTAGGGCATTTGTATAATGTAATACAATTTTATCTTGCAGGAACCCACTTTATGGTGCATCGGTTTTCAGAAAGCTGAGGATGGAGTAAATATTGTAGGAGGTTAAATTCTAAAATTAGTCTCAAATTAGAATTTCGATGCATGAACAGCCTCATCAATTTCCAAGTTCATTTTTTAAGTGAAAAGCATTTTGATCAATCACTTTGAAATAATGAGTATAAATAGTAACCACGGGTGACTATAAGCTTCAGCTGTTAAACTGCTAGACATTTTCACAATCAAATGAGATCATCCCTTCATTTTACAGATCTTGTTTTGAAAGATAAGATCATCGTTTATGACTTAGCTCGACAACGGATTGGATGGGCCAATTATGACTGTAAGTTAAACCTAGTATTGAATGCATAAAGTATTCTATATATATTTCCCTCCCAATAATTTCTCAACAAAGATGACTGATATTTGACAGGTTCGTTGTCGGTAAATGTTTCTGTAACATCTGGGAAGGATTTCATCAATGAGGGACAGCTGAGTGTTAGCAGCTCCTCAAGAAAACATTTCTATAAGTTGCTCCGCATTGTTATTGTACTACTCCTAATACATTTAAAAGTGCTTTGAAGTCCATTTTTTGGTAACAACCCTGAGATTCTCTCGACTTCATTATTTGCCCCAGTCGTATTCGCCCGGCCAATCTGTGTTTTAAATGCTTGGCCGGGTTGCTTATCGCCGAGCTGTGAAGAGTAAAGGTTTCTGTGCCTGAGCAGGAACATCTGCCAAATGCAGGCATCCTTTTCTTCGAGCTCCATAAAAGGGTCTGCTATATTAGGAGTTTAGAAGTGTAAATTTTGAAAATATAGTCTGATCTGTGATGAGAGTTGTGTTTCTTTTATAGAAAATGAGTTGTCAATGGGCTTTAGGTCAGAGGTAGAAATAGAGATCGAGAGAGGTGCCATTGCTGTATTCAAATTTCATGAAATAGAATCTCATTAATATGTAATATCAGCTGTTATTTCATTTTGATTCAGAGCTACTTCCATCCTCTTTCTTGTCGAAATAAATATTGCTTCATTATGTATGTAGAGAATGAGATTGATGATTGTAGAACGGTTTAGGACATGGCTAGCTTAATATACCCTTTTTTAACCCTCAATTTATTATTTGGACCAATTTGATTTCTACTATCAAGATCAAGAGTATAGTTTATATTAAATGATTATTAAAGATATCATGTTGAATAAAATTTTCGTTTACAAATTGTGGGATTTTTTGCAWCTCTATTTCTCTCTCCCTCTTGCCAACCATTTCTTTTCGTTATGGCTAGAGAAATTTTAAGCTTATTCTATTTTGGTTTTCACACCTTCAAGATATCTATTTTACTGCTTGAAGTTTTTTTCTTCAACAATCGTGTGAGTTCCTAAACTTTTATAATGTCTATTTTAATTCTTGAAAATACCAAAATTAATTGTTTTGGCAATTGTCATATTATTTTTCTATTTGTAAATCGCTTACCCAATGTAGTTTTAACACATATTCACTTTGATATTACTGAAGGTGGTTGACTAGTTTTTTAAAGTTGAAATAAAATAAAGAACTAAAATGATTACTATTTTAAGAGTTATGGACTAAAATAGAAATTTTGAAAATCTTTTTTTCAAAGACAGAAAATTTAAAAGTTTAGATTCCACTAAAGTCCAATAAAATAGAACAAGGTTGGAAATTTATAGACCAAAATTGATGTTTTGAGAGTTGATGGAACAAAATAAAAAGGAAAAAGTTTGAAAATTCAATACGAATCGAAAAAAAAAAATATAAAATTTCCTCTATTTCAAGTCTATTTTATCATATGAAATATTGTAAAAATATTGTAATAAATATGTTCAAAATTAATCAAAATAGATATACTTATTCATCACTATAGGTATTAAGTAAATTATTAAATAATTAGCCAAAACGAACCGATATGAATAGTAATTGAGATGTATCTCCAACCAAAATATTGTAAGTTGGATCCCATATGTTATACACAACGGTACCTTTGTTTGCCTTTGGACTAATATCAAGTGTAGCATTCGTTATCATCAGTTTGATATATGATACACGGGCCATTGGCCGACATGATATTAAATTTATTTTTCTAGGGTAGGGCCCACCACAGTAGCTTGCTTCTGGGGCCTTCGGGCGTCGCCTAAGCGTGGCACTACAGTCCAGGCTTGGCTCGCCCCACCAAATTAAAGTTGGGCCAATGTCAAAAGCCCAATAAGCTTTTCATTGTTTGGAGTTTAATCTAGCACATTTTTCTTTTGGGTCTTACAATGAAATGTCCAGCTCTCGATAATGTGATAAAAGTAATAATTTCTTTTTGTAAGTTTATCGAATGCAAAGTTCTTGCACCTTTTTTTCCTTTTAAAATTTTCAAAAAGTATTCCTTGGTTTCTATAATCGTACGCAATAAGGTGATAAAATGATTTTCTTTTGTTTGTTTATTATATAATGTTTTTTTCTTTTTTTGCATGTAGTCATTTACCAGAAAATATTACAACGTCAAAATAGTATTTAAACATAAATTCAGAACGGCTAATCTTACCATTTTATTGCCCCAATCTTACCCAATTTTAGGTACATATTTGATATCTAAGTCAAAATTATCCATTTTCGTCTTAAATAAAACCAAAACTATTTAGAGTTCTTAACAAAAAAACAAAAAAAAATTTGACGTTGATTGTTGTCGCACATCTCCCAAGCATTCAATAGACTTGACTAACCGTTGATAATTTTTTTATAGTAGAAGATGTAGGAGAAATTGAACCCACAACTTTTTGTTGGGGATATATGTTAATTATTGCTAAACTATGTCCATGGAAAGATGAAAAAAATTGCATCTTACTCTTATTTATTATTTGCAACCCAATAACATTTAGAATATGGATTAAATTTATATATATATATATAAAATACATTATTCAATGATGTGTCAAACTATAAATAGGGATAATGTTCATAAAATTAACACCGATGAAGTGGTAAATAGTTCTCTAATACAGGTTTGGGTGTTATTATCCGAGATCATGAAGGGCAAGTAATCGCTTGGGAGATCAAATATATGGAGTTCGTGTCGTCTGTCGATCCTGTTCCGACAACAAACAAAGGATGTTTGGAGAAATTATAGCGGTGGCAAAAGGGCCCTTCTTCAACGAGAGTGGCAGATTTGGTTGGAGGGTAGCCGGCGGAACTATCTTCATTTTTGGCAGATACACTT